ACAGTTTCTTCTATATTATCCCAGGACTCATAGGGTAACCGGCGCTCAGCTAGGGGCCCATCATCGGTTGGAGATTCGTCAGACCCTTGGAGACAGTGAGGACCTCGTCTCTCTCACCTGTTGCCTTCTTTGCAAATCTGCTTCCAAGATACAGGAGCTAAATACGACTCTCTAAGGGGAAGGAAACTTGAGTAACACAGAGTCAGCAGGGGAAATGCTGAGTTTAGGAACAGAAAATTCAGAAAGTTACCAACAAACAAGAGGAGTATGTGTCAAACCAAGATGCCACCTCCAGCTGTTGCATCATGCCTGCTTCGTGCACACCGTGCCGGCCTGTCGGTCCGCACGATGGTGCATCTGCTCCACCGTAATGATGTGACACTTAGGAGAAGTGGCCGGGAGGGAGGGAGAGCGGCATTCTGAGCGCACAGCATTTCTCACTCCATTCCCTTGGGGAAGCTGAAGGACAGGCCACTGGAATTTGCAGAGGCTGGAAGTCATTTGATTTGGTGAAGTTCCTTACAATACATCGGGTTACAGAATCGCGGGATCTCAAGGTGGGAAGAGAACTCGGAGGTTGTTTAGTCCATCCAGTTCGGGAATCTCTTCCACAATATCCCTACCAATTGGCTCCACGAACTCTGCTTCAAGAGCTGCCGTGATGGAGAGCTCAAGGGACCATCTTTCCCCACTACGAGGAGACAGAGATTTCCCGGGGAAGGTCACCATTTGCCAAAAACCAGATTTTCTACAAAATCATCCTAAACCATTGTAGCAGGTCCTCCCACTCCCTCCCCACCCTATGATTCACCTCTTGGGAGCTCCCCAAACCTGTCCCCTTTGTCTCAAAACCCTACCCTACTACTTCTCCCGTCTCTTGCCAAGGCATCCTCCCTCCTATAGTCATTGAGGAAATCAAGACAACCAGACAAAAACCATTAGCTCCCCCGCGCCTTCCTTCCAATTCTCTCTGGTGGTTTATGTTTTTCCTTCTTCCTGTGCCCGAGGAAGAAGTGTCTCTCTTCGTGTCCCAAGGTAGCCCTTCCTCTCATTGCGCTGGGGGTGGGATTTATTTTTTATTTATTTATTTTTTTAGAAGATAGTTTTTTTTTTTTAAGATTTATTTATTTATTCATGATAGACAGAGAGAGAGAGAGAGAGGCAGAGGAGGAGGGAGAAGCAGGCTCCATGCAGGAGCCCGATGCAGGACTCAATCCCGGGTCTCCAGGATCACGCACTGGGCAGAAGGCGGCGCTAAACCACTGAGCCACCCAGGGATTCCCCTGGGGGTGGGATTTATGGTGAGAATGTTTCTCAGCCTTTTCTACCCATTTTGATGTAGATATTTTCTTGCCCACCCAGTGCATAGGAGTTGCTCAGCTGGTTTCTAGATTTCTTTCATAAAGAATTGCTCCATGCGTAGCTGCCGATTCCACGTGTCCATGGCAGAAGGTGACTTCAGGAGCCTCGTAAGTCACCATCTTGGACCAGAACCAGGAAACCTTCCCTTCTTGCTGGAAATCACACCCCCACCGCCCTGTGTTAGATCTGAATGACCAGGCAGGTCCTCGCTTTCCCGTAGCTCCAACTTCTCCACCTCTTAAGAGCCACCCTCCTCGGCCTGTGAGTATGCTCAGGTCCTTCCTACACTTAAAAATAGACTCTCTTCACCCTGCTGCCTCTTCCATCCCTCTCCATTCCTCTTGCCTCACCCTTCTTGTATTAGTTAGGATAGTCTAGGTTGTGCTGCTATAACAAACAGCCCCAAATCTAACACAACAAAGACTTGGTTTATTTTTCCTCGTTCAGGCAAAGTCCACTACAGGTCAATGTGACTTTCTAGAGCAACTGTCTTCCAAGCGGGGCCCCAGCCAGGCAGGCTGCTTTAATCTTGTGGCTCCCTCTTCTCAACCCAAGACCTCCTCCACTTGGGGCAGCAGGAGAAGAGATAGCCCCCTCCCTCCTATCTCCGTGGAAATAGGAAATGTTCCTCCTGTGTGCCAGGAAGGACAAAATCACAGGAAATAGAAAGTCGCTAGAAGCTTTTTACCACACCCTCACCAACCTAACCGAATGCAGATTTGGCCACGTCCACTTCCTTGCCTCCTTGTACCTTAACCGCTGAAAATGGCTTCTGCCTCCCTGCACACAGGAAATGCTTCCTCTCCCAGGGACCACCGATGAAATCTTAGACTTCGGCTTCTCCTGCTCGGGTCACAGGAACTCAGATCCTGCGGCATCCTCCTCACTGGTCTATGCTTTAATGTTTTGTAAAGATTTTTATTTTTTATTTTATTTTTTTATTTATTCATGATAGACAGAGAGAGAGAGAGAGAGAGAGAGAGACAGAGAGACAGAGACACAGGCAGAGGGAGAAGCAGGCTCCATGCAGGGAGCCTGACGTGGGACTTGATCCTGGGACTCCAGGATCGTGCCCCGGGCCAAAGGCAGGCACCAAACTGCTGAGCCACCCAGGGATCCCCTATGTTTTAATGTTTTGTTCTGGATTATTTTGTTCACAGTCACTGTAAGAAATAACCAGAATTGATTTTGTGCATTTGCTACGAAATTTTTGCTGAGAAATTAGTCTATTATACGCCCCTATTTTCCTTATGGAAGTCTTAGGTGAAAAATAATTTTTAGGGCAGCCCCAGTGGCCCAGTGGTTTAGCATCGCCTTCAGCCCGGGGCGTGATCCTGCCATGCCCTGATGCACACTCGCCCCTGGAGCCCTGCAGGGTGCGCGGCATCTGACCCGGCCTTAAGTTGCCACTGGCCAGAGAAAAGGAAGAAGAGAAGAAAAAGAAACCACAATGAAAATATTATACTTGGGATCCCTGGGTGGCGCAGCGGTTTAGCGCCTGCCTTTGGCCCAGGGCGCCATCCTGGAGACCCGGGATCGAATCCCACGTCGGGCTCCCGGTGCATGGAGCCTGCTTCTCCCTCTGCCTGTGTATCTGCCTCTCTCTCTCTCTCTCTCTCTGACTATCATAAATAAATAATAATAAAAAAAATTAAAAAAAAAGAAAATATTATACTTGCGCAGCCCGGGTGTCTCAGTGGTTAGTGCCGCCTGCAGCCATGTGACCCCAGGTTGTGGGATCGAGTCCCACGTCAGTCTCCCTGCATGGAGCCTGCTTCTCCCTCTGCCTGGGTCTCTGCCTCTCTCTCTCTCTCTGTCTCATGTGAATAAATGGATGAAATCTTAAAAAAAATAATTTTTAAATTTGGTGCCAACAAAAGTACCATCTCTCCTAAAGAAATAAGTTCACACCTTTTATATAATGTTCCATGTTTTGCTTTTTAAGCTGGCTGGCAAGAAGCACAGAACCAAACCACACAGTCCATCTTAATACTAATACTTATAAAGATCTCCCAATCAGACAGGCAGACCTAAAACCGTCTGTATTTGCGGGCAATAGGATCTTTAATACAGAAAATCCTAAAGACTCCACCAAAAAAGTGTCAGAACTAATCAAGAAATTCAGCAAAATGGCAGACTCCAAAATCAACGTATAGCACACTTCTGTACACTAGCAATGAAACACTGGAAAAAAGGAAGAAACAACCCCACTCACAATAGCAGCAAAAACAACAAAATCCTTAGGAATACATTTAACCAAGGAGGTGAAAGATCTGTACCTGAAAACTACAAGACCCTGATGAAAGAAATTGAGGATGCGAACAAATAGAAAGATCTCTTGTGTTTATGGATCGAAAGAATCGACGCGGCTAAAATGTCCATAGTGCTCGAAGCCATCTATGGACACAATGCAATCCTCTCAAAATTCCGGCGGCATTTTTCCCCCAGAAATAGAAAACACAATCTTCAGATTTGTATAGAGTCACAAAAGAGCCCCAACAGCTAAAGCGATCTTGAGAAAGAACAGGCTGGAGGCATCACACTGCCTGATTTCAGACCCTACGGTGAAGCTCTACAGCAGTGTGGCCCCCGGGCACCTGGGGACTCACCTGGGGGCTAAGCTGCCCACCATTGATTCCCGCTCAGGTCATGACCTGAGGGCCCTGAGATACAGCCCCATGTCGGGCTCTGTGCTGGGCAAGGGGCTTGCTGGAGATTCTCTCTCTCCCTCTCCCATGGCCCTCCCACTCCCCCTCCCCCTCTAAAAAATAAAAATGTCTTAAAAAACCAGTATGAGGCTGGATAAAAATAGACACAAATACCGGTGGAGCAGAACAGAGAGACCAGAAACAAGCCCCTGGGACTCAATGGGGAAAGGGCAGGGTCTCCGGTAACGGGTGCCGGGACGCTGGACGGCCCCGCGCGGAGTGAAATCGGATCGCTATCCTACACGGCTCACAAACACGAACTCCCGATGTGGTGCAGATTAAACCCAAGACCTGAAACGATAAAACTCTCCGAGGAAAACACAGGGGGAGGCTCTTCGAAACTGGTCTCGGCAATGAGTTTTTGGGTATGACACCAAAGGAACGGGCAAAAAGCGCGAACGTCAGCAGGCCGGATGACAACAAACTGAAAACCTTCAACCGGCAAAGGAAATCATCAACAAAATGAAAAGGCCACCTGTGGAATGGGAAAAAATACTTGCAAGTCAGGATAAGGGGTTGTTATCCAAAGTATGTAAAGAACTCATGCAACTTAATAAACAATCTAAAAATAAAATAAAATAAAATAAAATAAATAAAAAAAAATAAACAATCTGATTAAAAAATGGGCAGAGGATCTGAATAGAAATTTTCTCAAAGACGTACTGATGGCCAACAGGTAGGTGGACAGAAATCGCAATGTATTGACCATCCGGAAGCATCCGGCTGGGGAAGTGTGTCAGTTTGCTGGGACCACGGTACCCAATACCCCCAACCCCTGGGGGATGGGGGTGGGGCGGGGAGGGGGACTTAGCAGAAAGGTACTGTCTCATGGTTCTGGAGGCTGGAAGTCAAAGGTCAAGGGGTCTACAGGTTTGCTTTCTTCCTTTTTAAGAAAAAAAATATATTTAATTTATTTATTTGAGAGCAAGAGCACACGTGCAAGGGGGCACAGAGGCAGAGGGAGAAGCAGGCTCCCCACGGTCTCACCCTGGGACTCGATCCCAGGCCCCCGGGGTCACGACCAGAGCCGAAGGCAGGTGCCTAACGAGGGAGCCAGCCAGGCGCCCCTGCAGGTTTGGGTTCCTCCGAAGCGTCCCCCCAGCTTGCCGAGGTCCCTCCTCACTGTGTGGCCACAGGGCCCTCCTCGGAGCACGTGCACGTCTGGTGTGTCCGTGCGTCCAAGTGCCCTGTTCTCATGAGGACAGCAATTGCGTCAGGGAGCAGCCAGCCAGCCGTGCACGTGTCCCGCAGGCCTCCCCAGCTGGGGCTCCGACCCCATCCTCTGCAGGGTGAGGCCGTGGGGGGCATGCGTCCTCTACTATGTGGCAGGGCCGGGGAGGGTCTTCGGGAGGCGGTGGCGTAGCCGAGCCTAGACAAGGCCCCGCTGTCCTCGCCGTCAGGGGCCCACAGGTGGAGGGGCCGCGGCCCTGCATCCCTCACTGTGCCTGCTGGGACGTGGGGCAGGGCATGCACCTACCCCGTGCGCAAATCTCCATTTGAACGGTCACGAGTTCAAGCTGGAGCATGATGAGCCGAGGTCGGCAGGTCGCGCCTTGGATGTCGAGTCCCGGCCACACGCACATGTGAGTGCAGATGGGTGGTGCCCACACGTGTGCTGGGGGGTCAGCTCCAGTCCTCTGCGCCCTGGTATTGGCAGATGCAGAGGCTGAGCCCGGAGCGGGGAGGGTGCATCCAAGGAGCCCTGACCTCCCGGACGAGCCCGGGCCCCTGCAGAGTGGGGGCCGACAGACATGACCGCCTGCGGGCAAGCGTTGGGTCCCCCACCGGGCTAAGGGACGTGCCCCCAGTGGCTGCCATTCACCACGTGGGAAGAGTATTTTAAGCGGTGACCCTCAGAAGCCCCTTGCATCTGCGTGTCCTCCGCTTCCTGGGCCGGACACGTCCCGTCACCAGGGTCGACGTGGGTTAAGAGGTGGCCTTGGCTGTCCAAGATCGCCCAGCAGGTGAGGGCGCACACGGACGCAGGGGCAGGCCTCTGTCTTGGGCGCGAGGTCCTCTCCACCACAGACCCTGCTTGCTCAGGGGCTTCTGCTTGCCTGCCGACCCCTCCCTGGGCCTCGCATGTGCAGACGGGCCTGGACGCATCAGGAGGCGGGGTCGGTTAGTTGAAGCAGGTGCTGCGAGGCACAGCTCATGCGCTCTCCAAGCCCCGGCCCAGACTTCAGCTCTGCTCCGTCCGGCCGGCAGATGCTCCACAGGGAGTTTCCATCGGGCAAATGGAACGCGGCCCCGTGGGGATGGGGACGGGACTCGAGGAGATTGGGTTTGGCTCCGGCCCATCTTCATCGACACGTACACTGTCTTTTCTCTGCAACAACAAAGGGGTCTCGTAGCTATAGAAATGCCTGAATTATTAGGGTCCGTGTAGGAAACACACCTCAGTTGTTGCCCATCTAAAACCCTCCCGCGTATTACCCATGTTTTTCCCATTGAAAGAATCATCCATTTTCTTTTCTGAATGTGGCCTTTAAAACACACAGTTTTCTAGGAGTTGAACTGATTAAATATAGAGGAACAGGCTCTCTTTTTACGTAGACACACACACACATAGGACCTTCTGTACATACGATCTTATGTTTTGCACATTGTAAGCATTTCCCAAGGCATTAAATATTCTTGAAAAATAGGATTCTAATGCCTAGATTATTTTATTATATCGGTGTGGCATAATTTATCCACTGCCCTAGTCAACATTTTAGGTTGTTCCCAGGTGTATTTTATTTTTTTATTTTATTTTATTTTATTTTATTTTATTTTTACTTTATTTTATTTATTTATTTATTTATTTATTTATTTATTTACTTACTTATTTATTTAATTTTTGGTGTTTTCTATTTTAAAAAAACTGGTGTGATAATGACTTTGTCCACATCTCTTGTTGTTTTCTTACAATAAACTTTATTTTTTGTGTGGTTTTTTTTTTAGGTTTAATTTTTTTTTTTGTATATTTTTTTTTTATTGGAGTTCGCTTACAATAAACTGTAGGATTGCTGAATTACCCCCATGAGGTTTTCACGAGCATTACCAAGGGTGTGCGTAAATCCCCAAAGACGATGCTCGCACATGGCAGGCACTCAGTGACTAGTGGCTCTAAATAGGGAATCAAGCACCCAGGAGGACAGAACGATTCCGTCAGAACAGAGTCCAGCAGGAGACGTGCTCCGTCTGTCAGGAGATGATGTGACCGGATGGTTTGGGGCAGGGCGGTGAGACGGGGAGGGCGGGTTTTGCTTCCAGGAGCAGCAGGGCCGGCCCATACGCAGAATGAAGCGACAGGACACCGCTGTCCTCCCCGTCCCAGCCATGCTCCCCCGGGGTCCGCAGACACCCTCCGGGAGCACGGCTCGCTCGGGCACGGGGATGCGGGGCCGGGCCGGGGGCTCTCGGGGATGGTGACCACGCTCTTGACTCAGGCCCTCCGGGTGGCAGTAAACTGTGACCCGAGAACAGATGACATAGTCACTGTGTTCTCAAAGGTTGTTTATTAGCTATTCTCACTCACGGTGAAGAGAAATAATAATAATAATAATAATAATAAAAACAGTGAATGAAACCGAAATAAAAGGAGATGGAAATCCAGCGACAGTTCTTCCCCCAAGAACCCGACTAGACCTAATGGGCCGCCGGGGGCTTCCTGTCTGCATCCTGCGAGGGGACGCGCTCAGAGAGGAGCCTACCTCCTTCTAAGGTACGGGGTCTGATGTGCTGCAATACGAGGGTCACGGGATGACTTTGTAAAGAGCCGAACGCTTGTCAGTCCTGGAGTGAACCGCGGGGTTCTCATGGAGGGCGTCTTCCGTGCACGCGACTCTGCTGCGTGTCCCCGCGGGCAGCCGAGCTCTGTTCCTTGAGGGTGGATCTGATTCCCGGGTCCCCGGGGGCCCCCGAGGCCGACTGGGGGGAAGGCAGGATCGTGATGTTCTGGGGGGCAGCTGGGAGCAGGAGGCTGGGGAAGCTGCGGTAATGAGCCTGGGCTTCCGTGGGCGCCGCTGCTGGCCCCCTACGCCGCACCCCAAGCCGGCGGCCGCCTTCCACCCGGGCCGCGCTGTGTGGGCATCTCGGGCACACGCACGCAGCCTCCCGGGCGGGCTGGCATCCACGGGGTGCTGGACCTCGGGCTGGCTGCCGGGACCTCGGCTCCCTCGTTCGGAGTTCCCTGGGAGCGACAGCAGTGCTGCTTGTTCCCTCTGGCAAAATGGAAGCTTGGCGATTTAAAATAAATTCATGTTTGGTCTAAGAAAGGCCGGCTCTCGAAAGGATTTCCATTGTTTGGGGGCCAAGGGCAGGCAATGGCATGTTCTGTCCATTCTCGTCTCTAAACACCTGCTCTCGCCCACAGAGGTCTGTGTCCGCCCTTTGTGGTGCCGCGCCCCCAGGAGCACCTGCAGCGCGGCCAGGCCTCTGGCTGGGACAGACGACGCCCCTAAGGCCCAGATGCTGCCCCACGGCCCGCAGCCGCAGAGGCTCCTAGGCGTCCGGGATGGGGGTGTTGCAGTTCCCGTGGTAGATCTTGACGTGGCCCTCGCAGCGGAAGTAAGCCTCGAAGACATCACTGTAGCCGTGGTCCCTCCACCAGGTGCACAGCTGCCGGTTCCAGGTGCAGTCCAGCACGTGGAAGAGCTCGGGGTGCTCCATGCCGATCATGGTGAAGAAGTCCTGGTCCCCGAGGTGGCCGCGGAAGTGGTACTTGTCCGCCAGCCGCTGCACCTGCGCCGGCTCCAGCAGGCGGCCGTAGAGCGGGGACCGGCGCATGGCCTCCAGGTCCAGCAGCATCACTCCGCTGTTGAAGCCGGGGAGCCCCTCGGGGGGCGGGCCCCCGACCCGGGTCCCGGGGTTCTCATGGCGAAACTGCCAGAATGTGTGCCTGGGAAGGGGAGAGAGAGCAGGTTTAGCTTCGCTGGCGTGGGTAAGAGTTCGCCGGCCCCGTGCTCCCAGGTCTTGACGACCAGCCTGGGGGCGAAGCCGTTTGCTCGGAGCCCAGCGCGGGGATGCACAGGTTCTGAGGGTCGGGGTCTGTGTCACGGCACAGCCGTACGGGGACCCAGGCCTTCACCAAGCCTCGGGTCTTCCCAGCACGTGGCACCTGCAGGGTGACTGTGGCTCAGGCGGGCACAGGGCTCAGGGGGCAGCAGGCCGTGTGCCCACCTCCCGTGTCGCGTCACCGCTGGGGACACAGGTGCTCTGTAGTTGCCCAGGGTCCTGCCACCAGTTAGTGGGTGGCTGAGGACTGCGGACCAGTAAACCTAGGCACCTGCCGTCCCACTTTTTGGGGTGGCAACGATCCGGGTGGAACTTTCTAACACCTTGAGTTTGTGATCTGGAGAGGAGAGGAGGGAGAGGAAAGGAGAGGAGAGGAGGGGAGGGGAGGGAGGTGACGGGAGGGGAGGGGAGAGGAGAGGAGAAGGAGGAGGAGAGGAGAGGAGAGAGTGGAGTGGAGGGAGGGGAGGGAGGAGAGGAGAGGAGAGGGAGGGAGGAGCGGAGGGGAGGGAGGGGGGGGAGAGGGGAGGGGGAGGGGAGGGGGAGGGGGGGAGGAGGGGGGGGGAGGGGGAGGGGGGGGAGGGGAGGGGGAGGGGGAGGGGGGGGGGGGAGGGGGGAGGGGAGGGAGGGGGAGGGGGGGGGAGGAGGGGAGGGAGGGGGGGGGGGAGGGGGAGGGAGGGGGAGGGGGGAGGGGGGAGGAGGGGGGGGGAGGAGGGGGGGGGGGAGGGGGGGGGGGAGGGAGGAGGGGGAGGGGGGGGAGGGGAGGAGGGAGGGGGGGGAGGGGAGGGGGGGGGGGGAGGGAGAGGGGGGGAGGGGGGGGGGGAGGGGAGGAGGGGAGGGGGGGGAGGGGGGAGGAGGGGGGGAGGGGGGGAGGGGGGAGGGGAGGGGGAGGGGGGAGGGAGGGGGGAGGGGAGGGGGAGGGGGAGGGGGGGAGGGAGGGGAGGGGGGGAGGGAGGGGAGGGGGAGGGGGAGGGGGGGGGGAGGGGGGGAGGAGGGGGAGGGGAGGAGGGGGGAGGGGGGGGAGGGAGGGGGGGAGGGGGGAGGGGGGGGAGGGGGGAGGGGGGGGGGGAGGGGGGAGGGGGAGGGGAGGGGGGGAGGAGGGGAGGGGAGGGGGGAGGGGAGGGGGGGAGGGAGGGGGGGAGGGGGGAGGGGGGGGAGGGGGGGGAGGGGAGGGAGGGGGGGAGGGGAGGGGGGAGGAGGGGGGGGGAGGGGGAGGAGGGGGGGAGGGAGGGGGGGGGAGGGGAGGGAGGGGGGAGGGGGGGGGGGGGAGGGAGAGGGGGGGGGGGAGGGGGGGGAGGGGGGAGGGGGGGAGAGGGGGAGGGGAGGGAGGGGGGGAGGGGAGGGGGGGAGGGGGAGGGAGGGGGGAGGGGGGAGGAGGGGGAGAGGGGGGAGGGGGGGGAGGGGAGGGGAGGGGGGGGAGGGGAGGGGGGGGAGGGGGGAGGGGGGGGAGGGGGGGGGGGGGGAGGGGAGGGGAGGGGGGGAGGGGGAGGGGGGAGGGGGGGAGGAGGGGGGAGGGGGGGGAGGGGGAGGGGGGGGGGGAGGGGAGGGGGGGGGGAGGGAGGGGGGGGAGGGGGGGGGGGAGGGAGGGGAGGGGGGGAGGGGGGGAGGGGAGGAGGGGGGAGGGGGGGGAGGGGGAGGGGGGGGGAGGGGAGGGGGGGGGGGAGGGGGGGGAGGGGGGGGGAGGGGGGGGGGGAGGGAGGGGGGGGGGGGGGGGGAGGGAGGGAGGGGGGGGGGGGGGGGAGAGGGGGGGAGGGGGAGGGGGGGGGGGGAGGGGAGGGGGGAGGGGGGGGGGAGGGGGGGGGGGGAGGGGGGGGGGAGGGGGGAGGGGGGGGAGGGGAGGGGGGGGGAGGGGGGGGGGGGAGGGGGGAGGGGGGAGGAGGGGGGAGGGAGGGGGGGGGGGAGGGGGGGGAGGGGGGGGGGGGAGGGGGGGAGGGGAGGGGGGGGGAGGGGGAGGGGGGGGGGGGAGGGGGGGGAGGGGGGGGGAGGAGGGGGAGGGGGGAGGGGGGAGGGGGGGGAGGGGGGGGGAGGAGGGGGGGGGAGGGAGGGGGGGGGGGGGAGGGGGAGGGGGGGGGGGGGGGGGGGAGGGGGAGGGGGGAGGGGGGGGGAGGGGGAGGGGGGGGAGGGGGAGGGGGGGGGGAGGGGGGGGGAGGGGGGGGGAGGGGGGGGAGGGGGGAGGGGGGAGGGGGGAGGGGGGGGAGAGGGGGGGGGGGGGAGGGGGGAGGGGAGGGGGAGGGGGGGGGGGGGGGGGAGGGGGGGAGGGGGGAGGGGGGAGGGGGGGAGGGGGGGAGGGGGAGGGGGGGGGAGAGGGGGGAGGGGGGGGGAGGGGGGGGGGGGGAGGGGGGAGGGGGGGGAGGGGAGGAGGGGGGGGGAGGGAGGGGGGGGAGGGGGGGGGAGGGGGGGGGGGGAGGGGGGAGGGGGGGGAGGGGGGAGGGGGGGGGGGGGAGGGGGGGGGGGGGAGGGGGAGGGGGGGGGAGGGGGGGAGGGGGGGGGGGAGGGAGGGGGGGGGGGGGGGGAGGGGGGAGGGGAGGGGGGGGGGAGGGGGGGGGAGGGGGAGGGGGAGGGGGGGAGGGGGGGGGGGAGGGGGGGGGGGGGGGGAGGGGGGGAGGGGGGGGAGGGGGGAGGGGGGGGGAGGGGGGAGGGGGGGGGGGGGAGGGGGGGAGGGGGGAGGGGGGGGGGGGGAGGGGGGGAGGGGGAGGAGGGGGGGGAGGGGGGAGGGGGGGGGGGAGGGGGGGGGAGGGGGGGGGGGGAGGAGGGGGGGGGGGGGGGAAGCACCTGTGGGCAGCGACCTGCTGAGAGGCGGGAAGCCGAGCTCAGGCTGAAATAAAACCAGCCCCTGCTAGACGGAGCCTCCTTCATCGGAGCCTCCTTCATCGAGGCCCCAAGGCCGGGCGGGGGCTGCAGGGTGAAGGAGCCCAGGGCAGGCGGGCAGCGGTCAGCTGACAGGCCGCTTGGAACCCGGCTGCCTGGAGGGAAGGTCTCAAGTCCAATTTCCCTCAAGGCAGACCTAGAATCTGACCCAGGTCTGCGGGACCCTTCCAGTCCTCTGTCCAGATGCTTCCATCTGGAGAAGGGAAGACAGATCAAGTAGCCTCCCTGCGGGGACGTGGTCCGAGCGCTGACCACCCGGTCCTCCTGCCCTCCCGAAGCTCCCGGGCTGGGGCTGGGCTCTGCAGGGGCGGAGCGGGCCGGGGGCTGCAGGGAGGGGGAGAGACGGCGGGCCGGGCCTTCGTGGGGGCAAGGGCAGGGCAGCACCCCCATTGTCAACACCCCCCTTCCCCCCAGAGGCCTCAGACCTGGAAGGGCCGCGCCTGAGCCTCCCTGGGTCCTCCCCACCCGATCCCGATCCCGGGGCAGGGAAGTGGGCCGTGGAGGGGAAGGCGGGAAGCCTGGCTCCACCAGGACTGGGGAGGCTCCGCATCACGAAGGGGAGGGGGGAGCGCTCCCTGCGGATGTGCTCGCAAGGGGAGGACAAGGGGAGGACAAGGGGAGGACAAGGGGAGGACAAAGGGAGGACAGGTCTGCGGTCTGAACTCCGCCGTGAGCGGCACCCGCCTGGAGATGACAACCTCGGCAAACAGAAGCTTCCAGAGCCAGGGAGAGGCTGCAGCCCCTGCAGCCACAAGAGCCTGTGGTGATGGACTCCCAGGGCCTCTGGCAGCTTGGTCCATCTGACCGTGTTTCCTCCAAATGGTCACCTTGGGTCCAGGCCGCAAGCCGCTGACATTTTACTGAAAGGATCTGGGCCACTGGGCACCGGGAGGGGAGGGGGGGAGGGGGGAGGGGAGGGGCCGTGTGCTCCCCGCCACCACCTCTGCGGCCTCAGCATCCTGCACAGCGCCCCCGCGGCGGGGCCTCCCGAGCAGGGGAGAACTTGAGGGGACAGGGACGCCGGGGATGTGGCTGGGGCTCGGGCCAGGGATCCTCCGGCGCCGGCCGGGGCCCAGGGCAGCTTGCCAAGGGGACAGGAAATCAGCAGGCCGTGGGGTGTGTGCAGAAGCAGCCGCACAGCCCGGAGTGGGGACCGGGGACTGGGCGCCCTGAAGCTCGCTGTCCCCAGGCAGGGCCGCGGCAGGCGGGGCAGCCGCTCAGAGGACGGCGGGTCCTCGGCCTCCGCGTCGCCCGTGGGGGCGCAGGAGCGGCAGCAGCTGGGGACAGAGTCCCGTGCGCCCGGCCCCAGGGGATGCAGGGTCGGCGCACCCTGTCGTGTCCCCGGGGAAGCCCGGGGCTGTCACACCCCAACAGGGACGGGGCCGAGGCTCGCAGGCCCCACTGGGCTGCACAGCCCGGTCACCTGGGCCTCGGTTTCCCGACAGCAGCGGCCGCATCCTTGAGGCTGGCAGGTGCCCCCGAGGCTGCAGGCTCTGGGGACCCGGCTGGCAGGGAGGCGGGAGCCGCGGTGCCCACCCGGACGGCATCACCCGGGAGCCGGGCCGAGGGGCCCACAGGGTGTGCAGAGGTACTGGCAGGGCTCGGTGGCGGCAGGAGCCTCAGTGTGAGCACGGGTGTCGGGCTCTGGGTCTGGAGCCTCCAGACGTTGCCCCAGCCTGTGGTCCCGCCAGGTCCCCGGACTCAGTATCTGCACCCGGGCCCTGCGGAGGCTCGCTCCCACCCTGCAGTGTCACCTGGACACGCGCTCGAGGGCACACACTCTTTCCTCTTCACACACAGCCTTGGCAGGAAGCAAGCCCTGGTGCAGGCCAAGCACTGTGAGCCCTGAGTCCTTCCCCAGCGCCGGCGGGGGCGGGGGGGGGGGGCTGCTGGGAAAACAGATTAAGTGCATCCTTTCAGGTACGGGCAAGGCCTTCTCTAACTTGGCTCTACTCCCTACGCCCTAACTAACAATCACAAAAAGGACCATTTAAAAAACGAGTACAGGGGACGCCCGGG